GTATATAACCACACACACGTAAGAGGCGTTAACTAATGACAGCCTCACACCGTTCTAGTTGTTATTTGGCCTTCCTTACAAAGGGTTGCCTCAAGGCTCACTCAAGATTTTTTGAATGTTTGACAAGCTTGTTCTGCCACCCCCTCCGCCCAGGTGGTGCTCCTTCTGACTGTTAAACATGGTCACTGCCTTTGTGCAGTACTGCACCGTTGATGGCAGAAGCTTGAAGAAGTTTTGAAGTTGATGCATATTGATTTTTAGTCAAGAATCACCACCATATTATAAACACATAGCTGCAGAGAGCTTAAAAAAGCTGTCTTTATAAATGGCATTTGAGAATTGCTTGGGAAAGTATGTTTATAGATTAAGTTATTATTATGTTTTGTGGTCTGTTGTTTCTACCAGTAAGCGAGGCAACGTGAAACTTCCAGCTATTTGAATGGACTTGATGAGAAGTAACTAGAAGTACAGTTCCCATCCACCACCTCAGATACACAGGCTGTGATTCCCCTCAGAGCTTTCCTCTGGCTTGCTGCATATAAATATGGAAGCCATGACAGCTCCCTTAAGTGAGGCCAAAATGTCTCGATTGTCCCCCTGGTGGCTGGTGTCATTATAGGTCATAAACCCCACCTCCTCCATGTTAGTAGATGGGACAGGGACCAAACTTAATAGTCAAAATGTACACCAAATACATTTTTCTCAAATATGGTTCCTGTCATTTAGGGCAGTTCTCATCACATTGATATATGTTCAAGTGTTAATTGTTTTGCCTTCATTACTGGATAAGTGGAGACGCGTCGTCCATCTTTGTGTACAGTCCATGGTGTAAACCAATAAACACTGTGTTGTGTTGTTTAGTAGGGGATCCCCACAGAGTTTGCTTCTGTATTGGACATTTAAAATTTGCTGTGCTAGTGTTAATGCAAATGAAATGGTTATAGACACGGCATTACAAACACAAACAGAATATTTGATCCCTCCACAAATAGCATGTCACTGTGAACTTTACCTGTGCTGGGCCTGAATGAAGTTTGCCTGGGAGGAATACCCAAGAAGAAGATTTCATTTTCTTCTTTGTCACATACACGACAACGCCATTTTCTTGGGTATACTCCTCCCAGGCAAACTACATCCAGTCCTGCCAGCATCCTTTGAAAGCAGCCTGTTTTAGTAAGGTTGCTGCATCTACTCTCATTCATTGTACCCCCACTGTATTGAACCGTGAACTAAGTCTAATAGAAAAACAAAGTGTACCATGACAGCAGAGGCCTTAGTGTGGCAAACTATTACCATGAAGAAGCATCATTTCCATTTTATCTCAACTCTGCTGCCGTTTGTTTAACATCACACCGGTGGATGTCAGGAATATGAAGCTGAACATTTAAAAACCCTGAACAATCTTATTTTTATTGAAATTATTTTGCACATTCAATTATAAAGACTTTCAGCATGGTTTAAATATTACAGACCCTACTCTTTGCTTCCATAGTGTCATGTTAACTTAGGCTTCAACATAGATACTGTGGCCATTCATTGCATTTTCTATGTGGATATAGTAAGAAATACAAGTAGATGGACAACTGTTGTGGTCTGAGGCAGAAATCTAATATTTCAGCTTCCCATTTGGTTACAGGTACATTTAAGAAGAAGATAGAAACATCGGCCTTTACTACAGCTGAAGATGGTCTTCTGAATGGTGGTAAAGTTGATGAAATGTGAGTATCTTTATTGAAATATGTCTTTACTTTTTCCACTAGAAACGCATTTTGGCAAAAAACATCAGATCACGTTGACTCTCCCCTTTCAAAAATTGATTTATTCACCTTTATCAACCTTTGTCAGTTCCTTTCTCTAATAATACATCCACTGTGCATCAATAGTGCTTATTTCTAAGGAGCAACACTTAAAAATAGAGTTAACTATTCACAAGGCTCCACATAAAGGCTGGAAAATACTAAAGTGGGAAATAGCTTCATTGTGTGGTCATTGTTTTTATACACTTCATCTAGCTCTGTGAAGAAGGAGAAGATGAGCCAGAACTTGTTGCAGTGGACCGTGACAGATGTGGCCACTTACTTCTCAGCTGCGGGCTTTCCAGAGCAGGCAATGGCGTTTCGGACACAGGTTAGTGCACTGCCACAAGCTGCCACAGAGGGCGCCACACGTACACTGAAAACCAAACTTGCACTCCATCACCTTAAAGGGATAGTTCACCAAAAAAAATGACATTCCCTCATTATCTATTCACTACTGTGGCGATGGAGGGGTGGGTGAAGTGTTGGAGTCCGCAAAAACACTTTCAGGGGTAAACAGCGTTGCAGCCAAATCAAATACAATTGAAGTAACTGGTGAACGGTTCTTCAAACAGAAAAAAAACAACAGAAAAAACACATAGAATGCCTCCATACTGCTTGATTGGTGTCATGCAACTGTCCGTAAGCCCTGACATTCAATTTCCACTTGATATGGCATCATTTACATCACGTTTTTAATCTAAATGTCCTCTGATATCCTCCAAGTCGTGTTCGTGCATGTATCACAGACATTTAGACTAAAAACATGGTGTTGATAATAAGTGAGTTTAAATGTTTCGGGGGAACTATCCCTTTAAGTGTTTTTTGAGGCAGTTAATATGTTGTGTGTTGCACCCTCCACATATAGTGTACTGCATGTTGTGACCAGTATTTAGCTGCATGGTAAAGGCCTCATTCTTCAAGTGATTGGGAACATTTCCCTTGAAATACAAGATGTGAGCTAATTTAACTTGATACATAATATATTTTGTAAGAAATGAAGCATTCACTTATAATCTGCCTTTTGAAACTCAAGGCAGATTCTAACTGAGAGCATTTTTTTTCCCTCTCACCAACAGGAAATCGATGGCAAGTCCCTTCTCCTAATGCAACGCAGTGATGTGTTGACCGGTTTGTCTATCCGTCTCGGCCCCGCCCTCAAAATCTACGAGCGCCACGTGAAGGTGCTGCAGAGGACCCACTTCCTGGAGTTTGAAGACCTCTGAAGGGGTGGTTCACACGGCGGACAAACGAGGCTGCATTGACCCGCACATGCATGCAGTGCCCTCTCCCATCTGGATCCTGCCACCCACCTTCATATACAGTATATGTAGAGGGTGAGTGGGGGGAGCAAGGCTGCGGTGGAATGAACTTTCACTGTGAGAATGACCAGAAACTGAAAGACAGTCATCCTACCTCTCATTATGGTCTTTGGTTTTCAAATAGTTGCCATTTCACCCATGTGAGGACAGTGTGAAGGCAATAGACTGCTGCGATCAGAGTTTGTTTTAAGAGCAAGGATCGTCCTTGCAAGAGTAAAAGATGAGTGATACAGCCGGTGAAGAGCACTCAACCTTGCACCAAGTGCACCACCTATGGGCTAATGTACTCACACATACAAGATGGCTGTAGCAAAGTGTTATCGCGGTTTTGGGTCCACAAGAAACTGTTGGTTTGTTGCAGGTTGGAGATTTCTCCCCTGTGTCCTCCCTCTGTCTTATGCGTTACCGTCTGTCAGTCCAGAAAAGGTATGTAAGTCACACAGATAGACACAAAGCACATCTGTTGTGCGTTTTCTTTTCGTCATCCGTTGAATTGATTTAAATGTAATCAGAGTGCTGGTGGAAGTCAGACAATCTACATATTTGCATCACAAGTCAACAGAGTCTGATTCCTGACTTATATTGCTGCTGATGCTGGATCTCGTCTTTGTGGTATAACCATGATGATATACTACTACTTGTTGTCAAGGCAATATGTTTCCTGTTTTATCTTATTATATATAAATGAATGTGGTCCAACTTAATACAGTGGCATTCTGGGAGAAATTTCAGATAGCTGTGACCAGTCTATGTGCTGCCTAATAAAATGGGCTTTTATACATAAGCAAACTTAATGAAACAAACATGCAGGAAATGTCATTGTAATACTGAGAAATTGTTTTGAATTAAATAGAGTTGCTCGGCACCTGCAGATTTCTTGATCAAATGCAATATTATGTTATGTTATCATCCACGTATAACTTCGCGCCTCTTTGTGTTTTAATCAAAGCCGGCCACTTAAATTGTAACATTCCATTTGATGTAGTCAACATCTCCCAAGTATCTCGTCTCATTTCTTTTGTCTGTAGCATTGACACCTCTTTCAGAGTCTCAAATAAAGCTTGTGTCTCTCTGCTCAGCCTCTTGTTTTCAGTATATAACACTTGGATCAACAGTTCGACCAAAAGCACGTTTGTTTTTTTCCAAAGAGACAGTGTCTGATGGCCCTTTCAGTCAATCAATACTGTAAACAAAACTTGCAGATAACATTTATGCTCAACGCTTTCCATATTTATTATGGCGGCTCAGCTGATGCAGCCCTCTGTGAAATTTAAAATAGGTTACATCGGTCAGATAAGTACAAAACAATAACGGGTTGGAAAAAGCAGACTCAACGAAAAATGCACATAACACACTGATGAAAGTTTGATGACTGAAACATGGTCGTTTTGCATTTTCAGCTGCTTTGGCAATATAACCGTCCTGTGTGACTCAGAGGTGTATTTTTGTGGGACGTGTCTGTGCACGCTATGGACAGTGTTGTTCTTTCTGTTACTTTTCTTATGCCAAAAATACACTCATGCTCATGTACAGACAAAAGTTAAGCCATGGTGGAAAATGTGGGAATCGGAATACAACTTCTAATCCAGATCTAACAGTAGCAGTAAAATAACGTGTAGGCCACTTGGATCTGTCAGATCAGTGCTGAGCTGCGTGAGGCCACACAGTTGTCAGCTCCAGGCTGCACACTAGTTTGACAATGCAGATTAGCCCCTTTGTTTCCCAGCTCTGTGGGAAACTTCACTGATTGGACTGCGGACAGCTGCGGACATATTGCAAACAAAACTCTACATCACATATTTTACAACTCATCAAAGTAGCAAAATAAAAGGATATGTTTTCATCTCTGTCTTCACATACATTAAATTAAGACTGTTCTGTATTTCCTTCCTTTGCCAGTAACAGTCCTGCATTCACCAGTCTGTAACTGCCACTCCTCACAATGGATGGACATGTTTCAATGAGTTCATGTGATCACCTCAGGACACACAGTCTGACATCCACATGGATGGAGGGGCCCTCAAAAAGGACCCAGTCAGGGAGGAGCTGGGGGGGGTGTGGCGACCATTGTTTTCTCCGGCTCTACAGGATGAATGGGAGTATGGACGAGCGCAGGGTTGGATAATCTCTGAACTCCTTCAAGTAGCCGCGGTGTTTGCCTTTGGCCCACACGGTCATCTGGATGAAGGCCACGAGAGTGAAGAAAGCCACAGGCACACACTGGGTCATCACTGTGAAGCCGATCCAGGAGCCCAGCTGTGAGCAAGGAGTTCACACACACACAAACAGTGCATTGAGATTCATGATAAAAGTGCAGGGTGTAACCAGTAGATGGCAGCATTTTATACTACAAGCGTATAAAACACAGCATTGGCTGCTGGGGTTTTATACACAGTCTTTAGTAATCTATAGTTGGCTTCAATACTTCAATGCAAAACCTGTCATGTAATGGCAAAACATGATTTGTGCAATCAAACAGATTAAATGTAATTTGAATAAAAATCTGTAATACACACAGGTTTGTATTCATAAATATAAACTTTTACTAATGTATTATTCATGTCAAAAATTCATGGAACATTTTTAAAATTTAAAATCTCATACTGATTTAACTTATTTAATTTTTCATTTTATATATACGAAAATGTATCTTATTGAAAATTATAATATTTTAAAATGTATTCAAGTTAACTTTATTTTTCATCACGACATTCAGACATTACATATCTTTAATCACATTTGTCTTAAAATGATGTATGAGTGGATTTGTGTATCTGCTCACCTCGTACGTGTAATTCGGACAAGAAACGAGCCAAAAAATCCACGTGAATGGATTTTTCGTTGGGTAAGGAATCTTCTTAGATTTTGATCCTGAGAGAGAAACACAGATTAATCGTTGCCTTTGCCCTGAAATTAACTTCATTATATTGTTTGTGCAAAATGCTCACCTGTAGTTTTTAGGTTACGTAGTGCAACGTGGATGGACAGATTCCCCAGTTGACAGACCTGTGAGAAGGATGAACATCCATGAAACTGTAATTTATCTGGAAGATGATTTTACTGAGCCAGGAAGATGCAACTTCTACATATCTGAGAACTCACCAAGAAAATATAAAGTCCTGTATTCACCTGCTGCGGCCCATAATCTGTTGATGTTGCACACAAACATAGATCAAGTTAGATGACGACTACAACTGATGAGTTCAAGTGAGAATCGCAGTGTTCAGCACTTACAGGGAGGGGTGTAGAGAGGGTGGTTAATGTAGTACGCCATCCAAGCTGCAGTGCACCAGTAATAGCCACAGTTCTGGAACACAAAGGGGGCTATAATAAGTTAAAGTGTCAGGGTAAGGCGAGGCTTCATTCCTACATTTGATGCAGATTTCCGAGAACAAGAATACAGAGTTAAATACTGAATATCAAAGTTCAGAGTACGCCGCCAATCACCTTGAATATGTTTCTGAGAGGCATGGTCCCATGGGAGATACGATGGACGAACAGCGTCTCCAAAATCCTTTTGACGTAGTGGAGGGAGTGACACATGGAGGCCAGGCTGCAACAGGACACGCATGCACACACACACACACACACACACACACGCACACACACAGTCCCATGTTGAAAAGTGATTTATACATTGTCCACCTGCAGTCAATTATACTTGGCCCTGACTCAGTGTCAACATTGCAATATGCTCCACAACTGTTTGCCATGTTGAGCGTGGCATCTGTGCAAAGCCTGGGCTTGTCTGACAGAGACACACTGCAACACCATCCAGACAGATCCCTGAAAACACGACACTCACTGTACGACCCACAGCTTGCTGCTGGTGAAGTCATATTTTGGAGAGTAGATGAAGGGGAGACGGAAGTAGAACATTAAATAGATGATCAGTGGACCTGCGCACTCTGTCAGGAACACCTGGAGGGAGCAAAGAACAGACAGAGGTGCTTAAAGAATTTATGCAAACAAAACACATCAGCTCTAAGAAAATATATTTATCATCCATGTTTTATCTGTGTCGCTTCATAGAGTCACAAGGGAGCTGGAGCCAATCACAGCTGACACTGGGCGAGAGGCGGGGGACACTCAGGACAGGGACAACCAGTCACACACATTCACACCTAACTTTCATTGTGTCTGAGTACCCACAGTAAACCTACACCAAGGTTATGTTTAACTTAGCAGGATTAGACCACTCGTCTCATTTCCATGATATTTTGTGGAGGGGTGGAACATGACCTAAGAGAGAACCGATTAGATGTGGGTGTGGATCCAGATCAGGGGGCGGATTCAGGATTTTTCAACATTTTCACCGATTTCACAGAATAATTCAAGGATCAGGATAAAAAGAATCAAAAATATTAAGGACTGATATTTAGGAATGTGTGCAATTTGGTGCAGATTCAAATTCCAAAATGTGGATATAGTGAATTCAAGTTTGCCATTCTAGTTATCTGTACCGTTTATCTTTTGAGGAGCCAATCCCAGGTGACTTTGGGCGACAGTTGACAGGTCGTGGGTGTCAACAGGGTCAACATACTCTCCAATTAACCTAACCTGTATGTATCTGGACTGTAGGAGAATTCTGGAGAAAACTCACGCAGACACAGAGAGAATATGCAAACTCCACACAGGAAAGGCCCTGGCTGAAAAAGGGAATCAAACAAAGAATCTTCTTGCTGTGGGGTGACAGAGCTAACTACCATCAACACTAACCAGTTAATCATTTCTCCCTGTCAGAAGAGCGCTCTGACAGTCTACACTCGTGCCAAAGGGAGAACATGACTGACACCAGTAGGCCTCTGGCTTCTTTAACAACTCAAAAGCAAAAACAGTCGAACTACTTTTCAACATTGGCAACCGTTCAGAGTAATAAAAATAGTATTTCACATGTATCCACGGAGCAAATAAGACACTAAGACATCTTGTAATGCCAGCTTTCCACAAATGATACGATCAAGAGGAGCTGCACAGCTGACAGCGAAGTCGATCCTTGAATCAGCACATTGACCAGAGCCCTGGCTCAGCGCGCCTGACCAGCAGCTACTGGTGATGTCTGCCGGGGCACCTCATGCCCCACCGCCCTGCACCGAAAACCTGGCAGGGTGCTGAGGGTTGTGTCAGAGGGATTGGTAAAGACAGGGAATGTAGAGCGTGTGTAGGCAAGAGAGAGCAAAGAGCTGCCGTGAAAGGCAAGTGAGAGGTCATGGGGATAAACACCTTTGGGAGAAATGGGGCCACGAGATTATATATCCTAGGACACAGGACAGGCAGAGGGAGAGGTGAGAGAAAGACGAGCCACAGCAGAGCACCGCTATCTGTCACTGCACTGATATTTATATTCAAGGCAGAGAAGAGTGTGTGTTTTTATTGAAAATGCAAGAATTTTAAAAGACCATCCCAATCGTTTTGCGTGCTCTTAATCCACTGAGAGAAAATTGTTTGTGCTTTGCAGACCAATTTGAAAAGCAGGCCGCTGCATTCCAGCTCTAGTTTGTCATGGCCAAATCATCCGCAGAAGCAAACATGAATAAGCAAGCATAGTTTTCTTGCATCATAAACATTTATATCCAGAGGATTATATCTCAAAGCATCCTTGGAATCAGCAACTAACTGAATTACCATACTCAAACCTTGGCAAAGCCCAGTTCATTTCTCATGAATCAATACCAAATGAAGGTGGGAATAAATCTAAAAACACATTGTATAGTAAACCATAGCTAGTGATGTAGAGCATCAGCTAACACATGCAATGCATCCTTATAACACACTCACAGTTCCCCATGTGAGCTGGGGTCCTAGGTCACTGAAGTAAAAGCTGGCGGTGGTTCCCACAGGAAGTGTCTGCAGAACATCCTCATCCCTGAGACACTTGGCCTCTGAGAAATGTGACAGATGAGAGCAGACAACATCAGATTACATGTTGTTCAACAGAGTTGGACATATCTGTGGAGATTATTCATTATTACAAAGCAGACGTACTTGGATCCAGACGCAGAGATTGTCTGGCTGGATACCACTTTGGATCTGTGGAAATGAAAAGATTACTGTCTGATATAAACCAAAACCAACCACTTTAAACATGTTATGTTTTTATTTATTAAACTTACACGATTTGTGGAACAAAGCTTTAATATCCAAGATAGTGGCAGTTGGCTCCACCTGCAACCAAAACCGACACAGAAACATGAGTGTGAGAACTAAAAATACAAAAGCAAAAGTCATGAATATCAGTAATATTAGTAATAATTATGACTTCTGCAATAAAGACAGTCATGTTATATGACTGTCTTTATTAGAGAAGTTGTCATTTCTTCTGGATTGTGTCAGACTTGCATTTTGCCGTTTTCATTTGCAACATGATCCCTCTTGTGTTTGATGCCACTCTGCACATTTACACAAGCTGCTATAAACATACGTGTCTCACACTCGCCTGTTGGCTTGGTGCAGAACAGAAGATTCCAGCCTGATGACGAGGGAATTCTCACCTCTTAACTGCAACCCTGGCTCAATACGAAAACCTGACTGATAACGGCTGCACTTGACCAGGCTGCCTGTGAAGCAGATGATTATCTGTAAAATTACCCGCCTGCTAACAGTGATGACTCTGTGCTTCTTGAGCACAAACAAACGCGGCTCCTCTTACTCCACTGGAGAGTATTCACAGTCTTTGGTCATGCTGCTTTTAGCACAGACGTGTGACAGTTTAAATAAAAAAATGAAACAGAAATCACTCATATGTGATGAGATCTGACGCTTGAGAAAAGTGAATAGCTGTGATCAGACGTTATTATTAGTCCTGAAAATCATTATGTTCAAATATAAAAGCTGAGTGTAATCAGAGACCCTCATCATGGGGACGCTCACCTTATCCAGCAGTAAGAGTTTCTCCTTGGTCTTCAAGTCCACGATCTCCACCTCAAAGTAAACTGTCCTTTTGGCCTTTTTGGAGGGTTTCGGTTTTGGCCTCGGTGTGGATTTCTTCTCGGTCTCTGTCGTCGTCACATTCTTTGCTTCTAAGGCGAGAACATCCATGATAAAGTCCGATCCCAAACCTCAGCAGCCTTTTGAAGTATTCTGTGAACCCGTCCCCTGAAGCCGGTTGTCCTCTATATGTCTTTCCTGTTAAAAAAGAAGTGCAGCCGCTCCCAGCTCTCCCCCTCCACAGGCCTGCCAGTCCAACTGAAGTGTGTCTTCTTCGGTGTCTTCTCGGAATAGCTCCAGAGGAAGAGTGACGGGTGTGTGTGAGACCATAAACAACTTCTTCTCCAGTATATTATGAAGCGAGTGAGGAGGGGTGGTCTGCGAGCATGAAGTGAACCTGCTCCTCACCTGAATAGCTGCCTCTTCATGATCCACAATCCCCCCTGTCCCTACACCCAACCCCCTTCATTCAACAAAACGCACCGAAGACGAAACCAGAGAACCCTAAGACATAATCCAAAGAGCGCCATTTACAAGGCTATATATAAGTTGCCTGATTTGCTCTGCAGCGGTCAGGTAACCTTGAGAAGCTACGTAGGCCTCCAGCCGTGCCCAGTGTCAGATACCAGTGTGCTCTCATTAGATCTATAAGACACACCACGGTTTTTCCCTGCTCCTGGCCTGGATACACAGAGGTGGAGCTCCATTAAAAGTCTGATCCATGAGATGAAAAGACCTCCACATGCCAACACCATGCACCCCCCCCCCGGCCCTCCTCCTTCCTCTGACCACCTGTGAGCCTGGTATTCTTTTCTCCTCCTGACCTCTAGAACACAAAAAGACAAACATGTTTATTTCAGGGCCTCCTACATGTGTGGTTCAAGGTTTAGAAGGAGGAAAAAAACTGCTTCCCGCATAACTTCGAGGAGGTTTTTAGCGGCGGGTGTAGAAAGTGCTGATTGGGAGAAGATCATAGACGCCTTTCATCACACAGGGTCAACAGAATCATTGCACATAGCCAACTGCATATCTATACTCTATGGTCTATTTATATCTAGGAGTCCAAGCCAGCAGCAAGCAGTGCTATCACTGTTTGCTGCCCTGGATCTTTTTCCCCCCAGTCTTTTATAATAAAAATCCCTCTGCTAACACTAATCATTTTTATACTGATGGCCGGACACAATGACATGCATGTGGAAAATATTTCTAATGTGCTGAGCTGCACCAGCTTCTTTTTCAAAGGTCGCACCACTTGGGTTTGACATGTGAGGAATGCTATGACAAGCTGCTCCACGGGCTCAGCGATCCTCTGTGTCACATTTGTTTAAACACTGTCACATTTACATCTAATTTATGTGAAGATGATTTTAAGACAAATACATAAATGTAATCGTTTCCTTTCTGTGACTGCAACAGAACAACACACACTCAACTAAACATTCCAATAGAAGATATCATCTGTGTGAGGCACCGTAGTCAACCTTTGTGATTCACAAAGCTTGTGATTCGATATGGTTTTGAAGTCTGTAGTTAACGTCCTGAGTCAGAAAAAAGAGACCACACTCACTCTGGACATTATGTATTTCAACTTGAGCCCTCTGAAGGGCGCTATAGAGCAGACTCAAGGGTGATTATGGTCATTTTGTAGGCTGATGTCTTCACTGCTGTTGCTTTCTCCTGAAAAGTTTTTCTGATAACATGTCCGGTTAACCTTCATGGATGTAGGATTTATTGCTTTACTGCTTCTGGTTTCAGCTTTTCTGCAGTTTTTGGGGGCTTCGATCCCCAACAACTTCTGCATATTTCAACTTATTTCATTTATAAAAACACCCAAATGTTCTGCTTGTTCAGGACATTCATCGTGTCATTTATTCTTTTCCCAACTGATCTTACATTTTGAAATATTCTGCTTTCTCAGCAATTTTGTGGATTTGGCTGGTGACACACTTACCATTCATACATAAACAAATTTAGCTCATTCAGGACCTTCATGCTGTCATTTTTTATTTTTCCAACTCCAACAATGTTTGGGCTTAGGTTGGCAATGACCTCTGTATTCTTCAACCATTTAAAAATCAAAATGTTCAGCTTGTTTGGGACATTATTAATTCCTATCTAAATGTTTTGAAATATTCAGCTTAATCTTGGGCTTTTGTGCTGAGGATTTAACCATTCAGACGTCAAAATGTTCAGCTTGTTCAGTATATTGCAGCTTTGAAATATTCATATTTTTCAGCAGTTTTTGGATTTAGGTTGGCATTCATATTGCATAATTCAAACGATTTCAACCATCCAAACATCATCCATGACATCCTCGCTGTCATTTGTCCAACTCGTCTAATGTTTTAAAATATTCAGTTTCAATTTTTTGAGTTTAGGCTGACACCAACTGCTGCTATCGATTTCAACCATTCAAACATCAGCTTGTTCAGTATATTGCCCCTTAAAGTTTTATTTTTCTTACTTCTTGAGGCTTTTGAAATATTCTGAGTTTTAAGAATTTATTGGTGCATGTTGCAGCTGAATATCCCTCACCCTCGGCCTCCCAAGCATGAAGGAGAACCAAACGGTAGTAAAAATTGTGTTTAGTTTGTCCAGTCTGGGCTACTGAAAAAAACATGGCAGCCTGAGTAAAAAGGGCCTGCTCTTGATGTAGATATAAAGTATTTAAATATAAAGGGCTCATTCTAGGGTAAAGAGAACAACAATGAACAATTTAGATGAAACACACAAGTGAAAACATCACTAGGATTATTCTATATTCAATTTCTGCCACTTAACCTTTAAGTAACTTCTTCATAACCCAACCGATTTCAACCATTCAAACATCAAATTATTCAGCTTCATCAGTTTATTGTAGCTATAAATTAGATTTTTCTAACTTCTCAAACCTATAACATCCTTGTTGTCATTTTTTTCTTTGTCCAATTCTTCATACGTTTTGAAGTTTTTGGATTTTATAAGTCCTGATGACCTCGTCACACGAAACAAGCCCCTGCTCTTTCATTCGGAGGAGCCTCCGCGGAGCAAAATGTGTTTTTAGGCTTTTAATTCTAAAGACGCGTGTCCGTCACTTCCTCAGGTGAAGCGTGGCTCAGACGAAACCGGAAGTATGCGGCGGTGACTCCTCCCGGCCCGGTAGTGATGACACGCAGCTGCAGCTTCTTCCAGAAGTTTCCACTCACGGGTTTAATGACTCGACATCATCGGTCGGATTCTCCCGGTGAGAAAACGCAGCGTCGCGGTGTTGTGTTGTTTAATATCTGCGACATTTCCTCGCGTCGTGTCGGTTCGGAGTAAAAAAAAAAGTTACCCGCTGTGGGAGTGTGACAAGTCGGGGGAGCGACCCGCTAGCTAGCCCAGCTACTGCGGCGGAGCCTGTCCCGGTCACCACCGACAGGACACGCTGGATGTGCCGCTGCCACGGAGCAGACACCGAAGCCTTGGATGATGCTTGTATGAGGAGGAACTGAGCGGACTCTGTGATGGGGAAAGATTACTACAAAGTGCTGGGAATAGCCAGAGGTGCGTCCGAGGAGGAGATTAAAAAGGCGTACAGAAAACAGGCCCTGCGCTACCACCCCGACAAGAACAAGTCTCCCGGAGCAGAGGATAAATTCAAGGAGATCGCGGAAGCCTACGATGTCCTCAGCGACGCCAAGAAGAAGGAAATCTATGATCAATATGGAGAAGAAGGTAACTCGGCTCCTCTCATCATCATCACTTGAGCTCCACCGTGTCTGCTTGTCATACTATTTGTTGTGTTGACATCTCCTCTGACATCCACACTGGTACTTTATGGTTCTGCTGCATCCAGCTGATGCTCCGGTGAGGGCTGGGGAATGAAACAGCATCAGTGATCGTCACAGTCCAACTTTCATCAATAGCAATCCAATACAAGTCCTATATATCTATATAGCTATATATCTATATCTATCGTGATAATTATCGATATCGACTCTTAAGAATATATTTTTTATCGTGATGTTATTCGGACCCCAGCACTGATGCATCCTGATGGCTCATTGCTGTTTCTGTCTGCACCAGTGACCACACAATGAACTCGATGTGTGTGTGTGTGTGTGTGTGTGTGTGTGTGTGTGTGTGTGTGTGTGTGTGTGTGTGTGTGTACAATAGCTGGAGAGTTTTCTGGAAACAGCGAGTTCTTGCCTGTCCTTTCAGTCCGTCTCTGGAATGATAACTCCTGTTTAACCAGTTTCAAAATGCTCAGATTTGTGTTGCTGTCCACATCATCATGGGATGACATCGTTTCGTTGTTTACTTATGTTCCCTGCAGCTTCCGTCACCTTCTGGTCTTGGAACCAAAATTAATATGTACAAAGTCATTTAATTCATTGATAATTTGCTGACAAAGTAAACATAGGTGAGCATGTTAGTATTACTATCATGAATGTTCTCATTAAAATTGCATAATTTTCTGCTGAACATGCAGCTGAAAATGTACGATGTTAAAAAAAAAATAGAGGTCTGGACAAGAAATTATTAGTTGGGTATCAAACAAGATGAACTGATAGAAAAAAGCATTTCAATAGAGACACTATTTTATAAATTACCTTTTATTCTCATGGGACAAAAATAGTCCCTGACAAGTTCAAGCACAAAGCTCCAGAGTTTGATGTTTCTCTGGTTTTTTTTCCTCTTCAGGATTAAAGGGTTCGGTCGGTGGTGGAGGTCGAGGACACAGCGGTCCAAACTACAACTACACCTTCCATGGAGACCCTCATGCAATGTTTGCAGAGTTCTTTGGAGGCCGCAGCCCGTTTGACCATTTCTTCTCACAGAATGGGGAGGATGATAGGGACATCAACGACCCTTTCACAGGGTTTGGCATGGGAGGCATGGGAGGCATGGGGGGGTTTCACAGGCCCTTCAAATCCCATGCAGGAGGCCCCCGCAGAGCGCATGAGAGGAAGAAGGACCCACCCGTGGTGCATGAGCTGAAGGTGAGCCTCGAGGAGGTTTTCTCAGGCTGTTCTAAAAAGATGAAGATCTCCCGCAAGAGACTGAACCCGGACGGCTGCACCATGCGCAGCGAGGACAAGATTTTAACAGTCGACATCAAACGTGGCTGGAAGGAGGGAACAAAAATCACCTTTCCCAGGGAGGGAGATGAAACTCCCACCAACATTCCTGCAGATGTGGTGTTCGTGGTCAAAGACAAACCCCACCCAGTCTTCAGACGAGAGGGCTCAGATATCATTTACCCTGCAAAAATATCACTCAGAGAAGTAAGTGATATCAGAACTAAAGAATCAGAATTGCAGTTTTCCTTTAAGTGTACAGAAAAAAATATTATTCCCTACTACAGATGCTGATGCTTCCCTTTCTCTCTGTATCTCTCTCCAGGCGTTGTGTGGATGCACAGTCAATGCACCAACGCTGGACGGCCGGACCATCACTGTGTCTTCCAGAGACGTTGTCAAACCTGGAATGAAGAAGCGCGTCACCGGAGAAGGGCTGCCTCTGTCCAAGTGCCCCGATAAAAGGGGCGACATGATCTTGGACTTTACCGTTAAATTCCCTGACAAACTCGGACAAAGCACACGGGACGCTCTCAAACAGATCCTCCCACCGTGACTTGATGATTGAAGTTTGCCCTAAAGTCTAACAAGCTAACATTTCCAGTGCATTAGCAAATTCTTTTTAGCCAGACCACTTGAGGCACAGGGTTCGGTTCCAGCTGTGTAATTTTACCACGTGAACACCAAATCCACATTCTGAGCCAGTATCCAGTCAGTGTAATGAGTGTCTCAAAACGTGTGAACTGACAGCTGAGGTTGAGTCATAGTGTTAAGCAACGGCCTACTTCAGTGTCAGGCTCTAGTTAGAAAAGTAAACAGTAGAAAGTGTATGTGTATGTAAATGTTATGGCGGCAAGAAGGAGAGGGAGTTAACAGTCGCTGAATTGTATCGACTGAAAATTTGATTTAGAGTTGGAGGGCATGGTTTCAGTTAAGCACTTTTTGGGAAATGCTTTGAAGTAGCACCCAGCTGATTAACAATACCTCAGGTGCAATGACGTATGCTTGAATGTAGCTATAACTACATTAATAGACAGGATGTGATTAGTTTCAACTGCCCATGTCCCCGTTCAGCTCTGGTATTAACGTCCATCCTGAGTGAACTGTCCACAAGTGGTCAGCACCAAGTTCAGGTATGGACGCACTGTGAACTCGAAGCACCGCCTCCTCAGCCGACGTCCTCTGATCCGCTTCAGCTTCTCAAAGAATCAAAAAAATCATCCACTGATTTATTTGTCGCCACAATATCGACACTGACCGATACACTTAATGGGAAAAAACTTTGTTTACTCCTCGCTCATTCATTCAGTACCTCCTGACTCTGCTGTGCTATCTCACTCACACACACACACATTTTTTTCAAACACATCTGTATCCATTAATTATTATTTGCATATAGAGCAAGGAAGTGAGCTCTGATCAGAGGTCAGAGGAGACACATTCAGGACAAATGTAATACCAGGTGTGAATTGACAAACTTAGAGCTGTTCACTTGTGATCACATCTCTCAGGACGAATACCAGGTCTGAACGGGCCCTATGACACTTAATGTAAGGGCCACATTCTCATAAGTCGTCTGGAAAAATAAACCTAAAATATCCACAGGCCTAAAAACGCTGGTGTGTGGAGTGTCAAGTTCCGGTTATATAGCCTTACATATGAATCATCCCGTTTTCTCACAGTCATGTAGCATCATAAACATTTTAAATGTAGGAACGAGGAAGCACTTCTCTCAGATCAGTATCCTCTATCAGGAGATATCTGAGTTTACTTATCAAAAAAATCAGATGTGCTGAAGATTTCCCATCTTACAAAATGTTTACTTTAACAATATCCCGTTTCAGCAGCACTGCGCTCTTTACTGTGTAACCTAGTAGAATCATTGTGCCAAATAATTATCCCTGTGCAATTTAAAAATATGTACGTGTGACGTCTAAAATGTTGAGCATGTGTGTGTCCCGTCGTGTGTGGCTGACAAATGACTTAAATCTTAAAGCTAAGTTCCTTCATTTGTACCTTTAAAGACGCGCGACATTTGTGTGAAATTTCACTTCCTCCTCATTTGTTTCTGCTCTGTTCGATGAGTAATTTCATCTGAGGCCACTGAGCATTTTGTCTTTTCTTTTTTTATGAGACATGATATAACACTGGTGCTTAATTGCGATGCAAAATGTGTTTTAGCCCCTGATTTAAAGGCCTGCAGAATATATATATATTTTAAAGCCTACGTTATTCTGCCTTATAACAAACCCTTTTCTTATATCTCATATCCGACAGTGTTCGCTCCAACATCCACAGTATCTGGAAATGTTTTAAGTTTTACACCTCAGTAAGAACTCTGCGTCACGTTTAGCTCCGTGCAGCTCTTACTGTGGAGGTTTTGTAAACCATGTGGTTCATTTGCACCTTTTTTTCAGTGTTGACATGTCAACTGCGAGAAGAAGCGACGAACTTCAAGGCCGTCGTTACTTTCCTAAACCTGCTCCTGCTGGAGTTTTAAGTTTCTAAGTGACAAACATGTGGTTTAACATGATTGTAGTAGAGATGTGTAATCTCTGTAATGTTGAACTTTTTTTGTTTTTTGAAAGGTTTTTTTCCTTTTTACGGGAAAGTGTATATGTATTTTATTTGTTTGACCTTTTGTTTTGTTTGACCTCTTGTTTCTGTTTTTCTTCAGAGTGGGACTTAGGATCTAATTTTTTCAAAGGTTTTTCCTATGCTGTGATGATTTGATTTTCCAGATTAAAGAAAGTGACAAATATGTCATTGATTAAGGCCTGTATATTTTGATCAATGAGGATGTTTTACTTTGATTAAAGCATTTCCCCCTGAAACCCTTCTCTCACTGGATTTTTTTACTCCCCTCATGCAATACACGTTTCTTTACAGTTCTGTACAGTTTTGAAAGTGTACATATACACAGTATATCTGTAATCGTCAATTATCATCTCTCCACATTATCATGGGTTTTCATGCTCTCCTTGCATGATGAATAACTGAAACTCCACCAATCACTTCTGGCTAAACTCTTCAGGTTAAAATGTTGTAAGAGTCTGGTGTAGTTACGTCCTGTGGCCATCAGAGGGTAGTGTATACTCATGAATATCAACTCACAGCGTAATAACAGCTATGAGAATTTAGGTTTGCAGAAATTAAAATGTAACTCAACAAAAAAAGGACAGATTTGAGTATTTCCATGTCACCTATATATCATTACTCCACTGCTTATTTTAAAATTTTGATTCCGTATACTTATCTGATCAATTGTTATTGTTATTTTTGCTGATTAAACTGTCCAAGTTGTTTTCATTGGAAAAATATAAAACATTTCATTGGTCCGGCTTCTCACGTGTTCTGCTTTTCCTTCAATTATTTAAAGCCTATGTCTTTTTAATCACTTTCAAGTTGGATCATTTCAATGGACAGTTTTTTTTTAGATAAATATATAGAAACTTGATGAACTGAGAAAAAAAGCCCGGAGATTAAATGATCATGAGAATAATCATTAATTTCAGCCTCATTTGAAATACACCTACAACACTAGAAGATGCATCTGCAGTAATAATATAGTGATATAAAGTACAGACAGTCACAAGGGCCATATTTTTACTTTTGCAACACAAATCAACAACTTAATTAAAATAGCAAATTGAATTATTGATTAAAACAACTGCCATGTTTTTTTACAGTGGCCCAGACTGGACAAACTAAACATCTTTTGAGTTTTTATGACAACTGAAGCTACCACAGGTTCTCTGACCTGTTTGGAAGGGGAGGGTGAGGTGAGGGGTATTCAGCTGTTATATGCAACTTCACCACTAGATGTCACTAAATTCTACACAATGAACCTTTAAAGTAACCTGTAGGACTTTTGATTCAGGTAACAATACTTTAACTTGAGTAACATTGTGACTGCAGGGCTTTCCCTTGTAATGGAGCATTTCCAAAGAGTAGTTTTACTGCTTTTTTACTGAACTGGATATTTGTTGTACTTCTCAGAGCGATCGTTCCAAGGGGAAGTTGGGGTTTACGGGGGACCGTGAAGGCGTCCGTCGTGTTCCACCCGTGCTGGGCGGACAGGAGGCTGATGTCGCTCCACATACCGACACACACACACACACATCCACAGCTCCCACTGATCCCACCTCACAACCTGCCCCGGGACCCCCCACCCTGTCCGGACACCAGCAGGAGAGGACGCTGGACTTTGTCTGCCCGGTACCATAACTCCCAGCTGCACCGTTAGCAGGCTAAGCTAACAGGAGGAGGCTAGCTAACGACAGTTGGCTGAAACTCTTGCTCCGGGTAAGAACCACCGGCCTGGCCCCATGTTTACACCCGTGACGGTTCATCTAGCTAATCAACGCCAGGAATAGTAAAGGGCACTTACTACTTCTCCCCAGAGGGATCGACACACGCCGAGTTAGCTTTTCTTGTTAGCGGCTAAATGCCGAGTCGCTGCATGGCTACAGGAGAGAGTTGAGCGTTTGTGTTGCTAGAAGTGAGAGATGTGTCTCAGAGCTAGCAGCTAACGTTAGCATGGTGCAATGTTGAGGTAGAGCCATGCTGACAGAGCGAACTGTGTGTTTGTTTAATGGGAGAGGGATGGTACAGTCATCTGAGGTGGCGCAGTGGGTTCTGGTACAATCACAGAGATGTCAGTGCTTTTTTTAAATGTTGTGTTTTTGTGTTACAGCTGAACACCTCCCTCTGCAGCGTGCTGGTCCTGACAGACCCAGCTATGTGAGCTGCTCTGATGAGCTCATGTGTAAATCCATACAGTGCCTGGTTACGACAGCTCTTTAGCTGGTCTGGAGGACCATACCATACCCCAGCTGTGACGCAAACACCCAACAGACCCTGCAGCTGATTTGGCTGAACAGGTTTATGTTTGCCTGGATCAGAGCATAACTCCCCCAGAGCAGTCTCCTCTCCTCCACCTCCCTCTGCTCCCCCCTGTAGGACTACTATGCCTCTGGGTCTGGGAAGAAGGAAGAAGGCGTCCCCGCTGGTCGAGAACGAGGAAGCGGAGCCCATCCGCGCGGGCCTCAATGTGCCAGGTATGGACGGCCTGGATGGGGGTGTTATCGGGCTGGGAGAAGGTGCCACCTCTGAAGGTCTGCCTCCTCCTCCCAGCAGCATGCGACCTCGCCTCATCTTCCACACACAGCTCGCCCACGGCAGCCCCACAGGCCGCATCGAGGGCTTCAGCAATGTACGGGAGCTGTACGCCAAGATTGGTGAGGCCTTCGGGATACCACCGGTGGAGGTAAGTCGGTGACTGGTGACTAGGGTTTAAATGAAATAATAAATCTCTCAAAAATCTTTGAGTGTTGGACAAAACATTTCCACATTTCATGGACCAAAGCATCATGATAAATCTGTTATTTGTTTTTCGTCTCCCTCCACAGGTTATGTTTTGCACACTAAACACTCACAAAGTGGACATGGATAAACTCTTGGGAGGTCAGATCGGACTGGAGGACTTTATTTTTGCCCACATTAAAGGCCAGAAGAAGGAAATAGAGGTGTTCAAAGGGGAGGATGCACTAGGGTTGACGATCACTGATAATGGAGCTGGCTACGCTTTCATCAAGGTGAGGACCATTGAACTGTCTGAGAGGATTGATCTCTATTGATTCAAGTATCCCCGGGGACCTGAAACTAAGAATATAAACAACTGCTGCTCGTGAAATGAGAATGAATGTCTTTTATTTACGAGAACACAACAAAATGGATGGTATCCATGTGCTATTTGCCATTTTCAGAGAATCCGTGAGGGGAGCATCATCCACCAGATCCAGGTCATCAATGTGGGCGACATGATCGAGTCGATCAACGGCCATCGCCTGATTGGCTGTCGACACTACGAGGTGGCCAAGATGCTGAAGGAGCTGCCCAAAGGAAAGGATTTCACCATCAAGCTGGTGGAGCCTCTCAAGGCCTTTGGTACGTGTGGGAGGAAGAAATAGGGACTCATTGGAGATTCAGGTTTAATTATGACATTTGTTAGTCAGTGTAGTTGTGCGGCATCACAATGTGCTCCTCAACCATTGTCAGGGCCTCATCTGCACAGAAACAGTCATTCTGAGTTACTGCTGTCATCTTACAATCCACTTATAGCAAATATTACTGTCATGCTTGCGGCCATGAAAGCAGTATTAAAATTTTGTTCTCACAGCGTCATTTAATGTCTTTGAATCCTCACTGTTTTTCTCAGTGCAGCTCTTAAATGTATAGCTTATAATCTAAAAACATATTGCAGAAAATGAAGCGATAAAAGCCTGATTTAATGAAATTGGTGCCTTTGCTGCTCATAGTAAGCATGTTACTGAATATTAAGTCAGTTCAGTGCCCCTTGGGTCTGAGCAAATAAACTGTATGAGATGTTTTGGTACTGGAAATAAAGAAGGAAGCAGTTTTATAGGGTTTCTGCAGGGTCCTACAAAGTAAAGAAAATAACTATCTCAATTTTAGCCTTTAAAAAGTCTTAAAAGCTTAAAAATATTAACAAAAACTCTATAATTGAACCTGTTCTTAAATACGTGTTGTTGGGATGTTCAATTGTTTTGTATAGATATGATCAGCCAGCGCTCTGGAGGGTCCAGGTCGGCATCGGGGGTCCAGCTTGGGACTGGCAGGGGAACTCTGCGGCTGCGATCTAAAGGTCCAGCTACCGTGGAGGAATTGGTTCGTGTGTTAACAGCATCTCCTCTACTAATAACAAGTTTCTGTACTCCTTTAGAAAATCTCTTTTTGTGGAATTGCCTAAGATTGTGTGTTTGATTTTTTTTCCCTACAGCCTTCTGCATTTGAGGAAAAGGCCATTGAGAAGGTGGACGACCTGCTTGAGAGCTACATGGGCATCAGAGACAGCGAGCTGGGTAAGTGTGTTTTCTCTCTCTCTCTCTCTCTCTGTGTGTGTGTGTGTGTGTGTGTGTGTTCTCTGACCCCTCTCTGTCTCCTCAGCGGCGACCATGGTGGAACTGGGAAAGGACAAAAAGAACCCTGATGAATTTGCCGAGGCGTTAGATGAAACCCTGGGTGACTTCGCCTTCCCAGACGAATTTGTTTTCGACGTTTGGGGCGCCATCGGAGACGCTAAGGTCGGACGGGTGTGACCACAGAGACTAATGGAGGCAGAACGACCTCTGTGAACGTGACGCCCACAACATGCAGCACTACTAAGAAACGCAACACTACCGTCACACGTTTTGTTTTTATTCCAGTGTATACTCCTACTATTTTTAATTTAGTGTGCACCCTTTTTGGGAGACTCTTACTTGACAGAAGAGGATGACGCCAGTTAAAGGGAGAGGGTGACTGCTATGACTTCCCAAGTGCTTTTATATGTCTTCCGGCTTTATCCAAAAAACTACAAGCACGTTGATGAGCATTCCCTTTGCCCGCATCACATGAACCTGCATGTCATTGTTGTAGTTGCTGGCAGTGGAACAAGTACAGCACACGTCTCTAACATGGGGGGGGAAAAGCAACGGCTAACACAAAGTAGATATTTGATACATGGTAAAAATATAAATGTGATGTTTTTTTTTCCATTGTACTGCACTGTAAACCAACAGTAGAAGTGAACGGAGATTGCACTGTACCCACTCGGTGGGGCGGCACAGTTATTGCACAGTACGTCGGCCTCCCTCAGCTACAGTACAGTGTCGTGTTGAACCGCTCGATGTTCCTGTTATGGATCCGTTTTACAAGCATGTGCTGTTACACTTTGACCGTCATCACGAATTCTGCTGTTTTTATCTTTTGTCTTTTATTTTTCAAGTAAAAAATGTGGTTGCAGAAGGGTGGTAGTAAACTGTAGCTCCTGACTTAAAGGATCACTCCATGCTGTGCTGTGCGTTGACGTGTGTTAACTGTGGAGACAGCAGCATATTCCAGTCTTACTTTTATACGTTTGACAGTGTTAAAGAGAATCAGTGTTAATGAACCTGTGGTTGAAGGTGATTATGTGGGAATGAGAAGCAGACTAGTTTCCAGGTTTGTGGATTTTGTTGACTCATTATTTTTTTTTATAGCTAGTGTTTTTATATAAAGTGATGTGACGTCTATTTTAAAGCAAGTGTAACATGAAGAATTTGATGGTGTGTTCCTACTTTATTTTGAAGCATTATAGAGAGCAGTATTATAGAAGAGATTGAGAGTTGTTGTATTTAAAGAAAGAAAGAAAATTGATCTGTGAAGTACAAATTGCCTTTTTATTTTTTTCCCCCTAACTTAATACAATTTCATGTAAGTCTGCCGTCGTCGGAGCATGATGATACCAATCTACTCCCACCATGTGTCGCAGTGACTTGTGGCATCGACTCAGTGTAGGTAAACACATGTCTTAAAAAACAACCTGTAGTGGTAACCTTTTCACTATGTCCAAAATCATGAAGCTATTTAGAAGTTTAGTGTCATTCTTTAGAGTTGATCCAAATCTAAATGGGGTTATGTAACGAAACTGACACTAGAACACTGTAACACTGAGAAGAACATGTTATTTCGATGGCTTTGTATTACATTGTTGTCATTGGCCAAGTGTAATACAATAATAACATTGACATGGCAGTTTTCCCTTTGTTTGGTCTTTTCCTAAAAAGAAAAGCTGCAAGTGCTTTCAGGCATCACACAGGTTACCTACGCCAAGATAGTTCTGTTTCTACCCGTCTGTCTGTCTGATGCTGTGATCTGCTGGAATGTTTTCACGTATTCACAGAAACGATCCCCGTGGGTGTGATTGTTTCTTCTCACTACCTCGTCCTCCTGAAACATGAATGACATTTAAATAGGCGGAGAAATCACTTAGAGTGGCCGTCACAGTGCAATGTAATGAGATCCACCCTGGTGAACCTGATAGTGCTGGTCATGCTCAGCAGGGTCATTCTCAGGCCTTGCATGTAAATCAAGTGAACTGAAGGGATCAACACAGAATACATCTGTAATAAGTAAGTTTGATGCAGCTGGTTTCTGTTCACCTTCTAAAATCACCAGTGTCTTACTTTACCCCACCTCTTGCCTTTGCTGTTTTGTCAAAAATAGAAAAACTACCAGAGCAGCTTTGTTATTGTTCATTCTATGGAGAAGCAACACATGTTGTTTTGACTCAGCTGGAGGCCGCCCTCCTCCACAGAGCCCTGTGTGGCTGTCAGCTGAGGGGTGGCGACATGTCCTGTATTTACTCCAACTGAAGTAAACCAGTTCTTCAAGTGGCTGTTGATCTTTAAACCTGGCTGCAAATAAATTGTCCAGATCGCTCCGGACAGCAGCCAGAGAGAGGCACGTCTTCTTCAGAGAGAGTTCACATTCTGTAACGGGGAGCCTCCCACCCACAGGAACCTGCCATGGCGTTGCGCCCACGAGCTTCCTCACAGCCGGGGAAACTTTCCTTCCTCCAGAGTCCCAAGGTGGCTGCGTCGCTTCGGCCGCGGGCTGTCAGCTCGCGCTCGGGCTCCATGCTGGAGGAGGAGCTGTCCTGTCCCGTTTGCTGTGAGATCTTCAAGGAACCCGTGGTGCTCAAGTGCAGCCACAGCTTCTGCCGGGCCTGCCTGCAGCAGTTCTGGAACAAGAAGAAGGCCATGCGTGAGTGTCCCGTCTGCAGGAGGAAGTGCTCTCTGACGGAGCCCACTGTCAGCCTGGCACTGAAGAACGTGGCTGACACCTTCCTGAGGGAGCAGGAGCGCAGGGCGGCCACCGGTGGGGCTGGGGCCCGTGGTACAGGGCCGGAGGAGGCAGGGATGGTGGAGGAGAAGTGTATCATTCATGGGGAGGTTCTCAAGCTCTTCTGTCTTGATGACTATGAGGTGTTGTGCTGTGTGTGTCACACGTCCAAGAAGCACCAGGGACACAGAGTGTGTCCGCTGGAGGAGGGGGCGCAGGACCTCAAGGTAATGTAGGTCAATTGTCTATCTGCAGCTTGTTGGTGGGTATGCACTGAGGGGTTTGATCATTATTACAATGCATTTGTGGATTTAATACCTTATGGTTATTCCTAATGTCCTTTCTATGTAGCTGTGCATAGTCTCTGGAACATCACAAACATTTAGGGATCAGTCTCATCATCTGATTCATTTTCAGCCACAGAAGTTTAATGCATGATCCTCCCCTCACCCCTGCAGGCCGAGCTGAAGAAGGATCTGATCCCTCTGAAGAAAAACCTGCGTCACCTGTATCAGGCCAAGCAGGAGTGTGATGACACAACTGTTCATATCAAGGTATCAATAAACAAGAACATCCACGAAACACACAAGGAGCCCGCACGTCGAGCCACTCTCTGTTGGTGTGTAAACATGTCAGCTGAAGTGTTGCAGAAGTCATAGTCTTCTTTAAAGATACTTTTCACTTCTCAGTCTGGGTGGGAATGTGTTTCTGGACAGAGTAGTCATAGATGCAGTTTTTGTGATTTACTTTTTGCTTCCAAAATTCCAAAATAACAAGGTTTGACACATTTTTCCTACTGTATTTTTCTTTTAAAGGTTCAGTGTGTTGAGTTTAGTGACACCTAGTGGTGAGGTTCTGTAGAGAGGACCCTCTCGATGAAAATATTAAGTATTGAAATATAAACTGTGGTAAAGAAAACAACAAGTATGTAAATTTAGATGAAACACAATAGTGAAAACATTACTAGGATTATTTTATATTCAATTTCTGCTAATAGATCCTTTCACCTAAATCTTACTGTACGTTGTGTTGACTCTGTTTGCTGTAGAAGCAGATTCAGGCCACTGAGAAGCAAATCAAAGAGGAGTTTGAGCAGCTCCGCGAGTTCCTGCAGAAGGAGGAGGCAGCACGTCTGGCCGCCCTGCAGCAGGAGGACGAGGAGAAGAGAGATCTGGTAAAGAGGAAGTCCGACAGCATCACCAGAGACATCCTCACCTTCTCTCACGCTGTCATCGCCATAGAGAACGAGATCGCATCCAGCGATGCTCTCTTCCTTCAGGTGGGAGGATTTTTATACCTCTCTAAATTCATATGACCTTGCAGTGTTTATAATACTTTGTTTGCTTTTGATTTCAGAATTACACAAACACAAAGAAAAGGTGAGAAACTTAATCTTGTACAGTTTTTGTTTATACTACATTCAGCTTTCTAGTTATGCTCCTGAATGTCATTGTCCTCTCAGAGCACAGATCCCACAGAAGGACCCAGAAAAAGTGTCCGGCGCTCTTGTAAATGTGGCCAAACATGTCAGCTCCCTCAAATATATTGTGTGGGAAAAAATGGTGGAGCTGGTTCACTACAGTAAGTTCTCAACTGTGTTTGCGCACCTTGAATTTTAAGAGGAATTCAACCGGTCATTAAATCCTCCCCTGTCTTTGTCTTGTCCTTTTAGCACCCATCACCCTGGACCCCAACACTGCCTACTCCTGGTTGTCCCTCTCCTCAGACCTGACCAGCGTGACCAACAGTGGATGTCTGAATCAGTTGCCGGACAACCGCGAAAGATTTGGCCACTTCGTGTTCGTGCTGGGCTCAGAGGGCTTCACCTCGGGCCGCCACGCCTGGGAGGTTGAGGTAGGAGACAAAGTCGACTGGATGCTCGGGGTTGTCAAGGAGTCCATCGACAGGAAGGGTCGCATCTCCGGCTGTCCCGAGGGTGGCTTTTGGATGATCTCGCACTACGAGGGCGAGTACGCTGCAATGACGAGGCCCAGCACCCCGCTGCACCTGCAGGGCGAGCTGACCCGAGTGAGGGTGCAGCTGGACTACGACTCCGGGGAGGTGACCTTCTCCAACCCTGTCAGCATGACGCCCATATACACCTTCACAGATTGCTTCACTGAGAAGATGTTTCCCTTCTTCTGCCCCGGCGCCAACATCGACGGGAATAACCCCAAACCCCTGAAGATTTGCCCCGCCAAAGTGGCCGTGTGGAACAGCGCGACGTGGTGATGTGATGAGTGTGTACTAAAAATGTAAGAATGTGCAAATCAAATCATTTAGGCAGATGATGTCAGTGCATGTGTGTAAAATGAGCACGTTACAAGCAGAGTGATCGGAATAATAACTGGTTTATTTCACTGGTGTTCATTCAGTCTTTGCTTGTAGGCTCTACAATTATATTCACAATCCAAGGGATACAAAGAGATTCAGATCTGATTGCATGATGAAACTAAACAAAACGAATCAGTTGGATATTTTCAGTTCTGACCTCCAGCCAGTTTCATACTTTATTCGTGTCTGATTTGTGAAAACAAAAGTTTCTAAAGTGAGAAATGATGAGGCGTTGAAGGCTGCAGTCATGCTGCTCATTAACTTGAAGGTGGCGAGAGGTGGTGTACCACCCAGGACTGGGCACAGTGAAATACAAGACTGCTAAATTATTTTAAGTGCCTAAATAAAAAAAGTTGGCGTGAAAACCTGAATTTTAATGTCATGCTAAATGCTGAAATACAACGAGCATATAGCTGGGTAATAAACTGTGTGCACTGAACAGAAGATGGAGTCTTGACCCAGATATCCGCTGTCTACACCAGAGGATAATTTGTCGGCAGATCATAACAGATGGGCTCTGAAATAATTAGTCAAAAAATCATTTTAGCTTAGCTGTTTGTTCAAATAGAATATTGGAGGTAAGTTTGGTTTTGCTCAGTTGATTGATGCTACAAAAACAAACTCTGGCTTCATATTTCATCATGGAAGGAGATGAAAATACATTCTGTGGTTCCGACTGGTATCAGGTAAAAGACTCATTGGGTCGGTGGATCTAAAAAAAAATCAGCTCTGAGCCAAAAATAGTGAATTGAACACCAGAGTCTTTGAATGTGAAGGAAGCCTATAAAATGTGTCACCATGAGAACTGAGCAGATTCTCAGTTTGTGTTGGTTTCATAATAATTTGATAATAACTGCTGCAGCTGCATGTTCACTATTTTCAGAAATCCCACAGTGACTGCACAGACATTCAACCACTGTGTGTGCGTGCATGTGTGAAAACATGAATTCAGGCAACATGTTAATGTTGTGCTTCTCAGTTAATGAAGTGACGACTCGGTTGATTTCTGCTTCCTCCAAAATGTTTCACTGAGGGTGTCATGGACAAACTTGTGAGCTCATGTGGAAACTTGTTGACCCACCTCTACTCATGTAAGGGTGCAGCGCAGAAAACAGGATCTCATCCTTCTTCAGCTCTTGTGATGCAAGTGTCTGCATGTTCAACCCTTCCTGAGAAAAGAGGAGAGGAAGAGGAGGAGACGGAAAAATGAAAAGAGTAACGGTGAAGGGTGGACAGCTTCCCTTAATGAATGTAAGATGAAGCCAGCAAGTTACAGTTTCTTTATTTCCCAATGATCCAAGAAGAACAGAAAACTTTCAGTGTGCAGTGGAATAGCACCACCCATGTTCCTGCTTTTATTTTGAAAGAAAATGCAGAATTAGAATTCCTCCTCTGGCTTCCCTTTAAAGATGTTCATAGGGTTCATGACATTGGTGTTGAACGCTCCCTGCACGGTGCCTTTGGCCAGGAACCCTGCGTTGTTAATCAGCAGGTTGAGACCCCCCCACCACCGCCGGAGAGCCCACCTGCTGGGCGGACTGTTTCATGCTACAAAGGTCAGTGGCGTCTAACAGAGAGAGAGAGAAAAGGGGAGGATCAGCAGCGGTCAATAGCAGACACTCTGATAAATATCAGGACACGGTGCTGCTCATTGATCACGAGAGGAGCAGAGCTGGGTCCCTGACTGATGACTTTAAGTTTGAGAATCATTTTTAGTGTGCACACTAGAACAGCGGTAAGTCTGAGCTTATTGAGACAGATTGGAAGTTAAGCCTCTCACCTCAGCCCTGGGACCATCTGCAGCAGGTTTCCTATTTGGACATGGGGGCTTCCACTGTTATTGCATGACCATCCCCAGGTCACCGTTGGCTCCTGTGATGAGGACGCTGATTGGCCGAGATGCCACTTCCTCCTCCTCATTTTGCACATTTCCACATTTAGTCCTCAGCCTGACCACACTTGTGTTATCACATCGAGAACACAAGTTTCTTCTTTTGAGCTTTATCTTCCTCTCAACTTTAAAGATTAAAATCAGGTCCATGTGCAGCTGAGATCTAGATGGAGCCCTCTCATGAAATTCCAGCAGACAAAAGCAAACTCATGGCAGCAAATAAAGCAGGTAAATATGTCTGATGATGATGTTTCAACAAGATGAAGAGGACGAGTCTGGTTCACGTTCATTTTTTTTTTTTTTTGCAAGTCAGACTATAAACAGCAAAGTCTGACAACTGCTTAAAAACACATCCTCCACTCTGTTCTCACAATCTTACCAACACTTCACATGTGAAGAGTCGTGTTGGACTTCTTTAACTCACACGTATGCAAAGACTAATTGAGGCAACACATGTCGTGTGGTCACTGGCGAGCGAGGCGACATTACACCAGATGATTTAGAGCCATTTAGTGTGAGTCACATCAGACAAATAATAGCTCGGGGTCGTGAGTTTGGTAGAAACACAAAAGACAATCTGTACGTGAAACCATAAAAAGTGATTCCACTTCACAGCTGCATATATCGACAACAAAACAACAATAAAGCAATGAGGAGCTGTAACGACTGACTTTAATATGTACATACTTTCAGGTTTTAATGGCACTGAAGCTACAACAGTGGTGGTGGGCGGCGGCAGGGGAGCCCGTCAGCGTTTCCATCACGTGGCTGCACCGTTTTCTCAAGTTCAGACGATTAAAAGAGTTTTTTAAATCCCTGATAAACAAATGTTATAAACATCCACGCAAACAAGTCATTTTCTGTAAGGACGGGAGCTTTTTCTCTGTGTTTGTTTGTTAGTTAGCAGGATTATGCAAAATGTGCTGAACCGATTTCGATGAAGATTTGTGTGGGGGTGGGTCATGACCAAAGGAACAACCCATAACAATTTGGTGTGGATCCAGATAAGGGGGCGGATCCAGGGGCTTTATTCTCTACTTTTTATTCACATTGAAAGATAGGTTACATTTTTTTTTCAGAGAATAATTCCTGGATCCCCAAGTTGAGGGTACTGATAATTAAGAGTTTATGTAATTGGGTGAAGAACCAAATATAAATCTGGATCTAATACATTTACATGTGGCTCCTGAACTCTGGTTCAGACTGTGTCACATTAAAATCTTTTGTTTCTTTAAAACAACTAATAATCAATGAAATAAAGTAGAAGAGGCTGAATGATCTCAGTCACCAGGCATTCTTCAGAATTTTTTCCTACAGAATTTTTTAATCCTAAATTATGAAACTATTCACTTGTTTAAGTGGATATCTATAGCAGTGTGCAATGAATACTTCAAATATTTACCTGTAAAGCTTATAATACAGCTTCACGACCAAGAGTTGACACCATCTCAATATTATGAGCAGTTGCATTTACTGCAGGGTTATTATAGTGGGCCGGCCTTATGATACGGTAAACCTTTTCCGATTCCCTGCATCTCTAACATGCATGTCAGCAAAAGCAAGCTGCTGGACGGCTAACACTGACTGACAGAAGTAGAGGGAGTTACACTTGAAGAAAAATGCCTGCACTGACCGTGTGGTGTTGCTGTCTGATTATCCTGTCCATTACTGAGACTGGTGCTCTTTGGGTTCGTTCCGCTGCTGGTGAGCATTAAACCAACGTGTGCGTTTGAGGGTGTAAGCAACAGATAAAAGGTTTCAAAAAGGCTTTTATGGAGACCCCCCCAAAAAATAGACAAGAAAAAAAGAAAACCTTAGAGGGTTCCTGCACTGTAGTGTCACTTTCCGATACGTCAAACAACATAAAGTGTGACGGAACATACTTACACATAGAAGGACAGGAAATAAAAACCTTTCGTTTGGCAGCAGGTTACTGTGGCTGTCCAGACAGAATTGGCAGTGTCTTGCTCTTGATCCATAAACACACACACACATTCACTCACGCACTGGCAGACACATACAGTACATACATACATACACTCTGCACATACATGATGCAGTACATAACATGCACATACAGAGATATAAATACATACAGTGTTTCATTAAATGCACTTCTGTGTCCGCAGGTCTCTGCCTCGAAAATAGGATGGTGCGTAAATAAAACATTCCCATCGTTATAGAAAAGAAAAGGTCCATGCACGTCCGGCACCTCTGAGTTCAACGACACTGTACGTGGAGAAAAGACAAGGGCCCTGCGCCACCCGGCAGCATCCCACTCCATCTCATCCGTTCGTGATTTCCACTTCTCCCTCAAGTGTGTTGTTATCTCTCATCTCTCTCTAGCAGTGGTTTGACAGTATATTTGTCCTTTTTCTTGTGTGTGTGT